GTATATGCATAATAGGTTATTATGCAAAAGCACCGACAAACTTAACAACAACCTTCAATGCAAGTGGAGTTACTTTAGAATGGGAGGACACTGGGAATAACTGTACTAATTTTACTGAGTATCAAGTGACTGTTATTAGTTGTTCATGTACATCAACCAGTGTATTGATGTATAATACTACTGAAACAGCCTTACATATAAACTCAAGCGACTTATTAGAAAATATAACCTATACATACATTGTTAGAGGGTGGAATGAACAGTAAAGCAACAGCAGTGAACCATTCACACTTGGTAAGAACAATGTGTACATTTGTAGCTCCTAGCTAAAGAGATGAGTATACAGAGTATTACAATAAATACAACTAATACTACTGATCCTTATAAAAATAATAGTTGCTGTGTTAATGTTACACTGAATATATAATACTGAATATATGACTGTTTTGAGCTAAATAAATTATGAAAAATGATGCCTCTTTTAGATCTAAGCTATAGATATAGATGAGAAATGAGAATTAAGAATTGGACCACAATTTTATGTATAAATACTAATGCACTAAGGAAAACAAAGTTAGTGTATAAGTCTGTGCATAATACATACTGCTAGACTATAGCTTACAGGAAATTCATACAAGTATAACAAGAAAACATAATTATCAAGTCAGGCATCTGTATCTAATCCAAGTATCAATATTATCAAGTATAAGTATATAAAGCTTGTTTGGCAAGATCTATAGATTCAACAATCAGTACAGGCAAAAAGAGTAGGAGGGGCTGTTCAGCTAAATTCACTTCCTGTCCTGCTTACATAAAATCTATAAATAGATCTAGATCTATATATCCTATGTGTGTGTTTACTTTACATACCAAAACAAAGGTGTTTAATTTCATGCTGCAAAACATGTATATATTTAGCCAATTGTACCACATCACAGTTATGTTAGGAATGAATACGCAATGAATGGGTGGGTATGTGAACAGGAATCTGACCTGTCCCTTATAGATATGAATATACTCAAGTGATTGTTTGTGCTATATACTGGAGTGATTGTTTGTGCTTTTTGTTCAGTTCAGCCATTGGGATGATGATGGCTTCAGCTCTGCTATTAGGGCTCATACTAGTCTGCATTGGGATGACAGGTAAGCCTTTGATACCATTCAAACATTAACATCATGACTGTGTAAAACCATTTGATAATAATATACTATTCATTTTTATACAGATGGTGCTATCACTAACTTTACATGCACTGATGGGCCAGTATGTGCAGGGGATAGAATAGAATGCAACTGCACAACAGATACTGGTACTTTAGAATGGTCTATAAGCTACAGTCTAGTAGATACTTCAATGTGGAGCCAAATCCTAAGTGTTCTATTCAATAAAGCTAAAACAAATGAAGAATATCATTATGGTTATGATTTCACATTTAATACAACTTATACTGGTCTAAACACTTCAATACTGACCTTTAATCTTAATCACTCTGAGAGTGTACTCATTGAATGTGCAAATGGAAATGTGACTCATGAAATGAACACAATAGTTACTGATTTAGGTTAGTGTACGCATACAATAATTAGGCAATCTTATTTTGTTAAGCTTAAATATATTACAATGTAAAAATGGCAATGCAGGGTATGATAAAACTGCATACGAGTTATGCATGTAAAATGCATGTTTTGAAAGAATAAACAAATATGTTAGTTACCCTTTTCAATGTTTTGTATATGCATAATAGGTTATTATGCAAAAGCACCGAGAAACTTAACAACAACCTTCAATGCAAGTGGAGTTACTTTACAATGGGAGGACACTGGGAATAACTGTACCTCTACTGTGTATCAAGTGACTGTTATTAGTTGTTCATGTACATCAACCAGTGTATTGATGTATAGTACTAATGACACAGCCTTACATATAAACTCAAGCGACTTATTAGAAAATGTAACCTATACATACACTGTTAGAGGATGGAATGAGCAGCAAAGTAACAACAGTGAACCATTCACACTTGGTAAGGATATACAGTTCAACAATGTGGTTTACATCTAATTTTAATTGAATATTTTATTATACAGGTAATGATGCAATTAATTTTCAGTGTGAATCACTGCAAAATAATAATGGTACAAGACAATGGCTCATTATTACTTTATTTTTGAATTTTTACTAGATCTAGGCACTCCTAGCTTCAATTTTACTATTATTGCAAATGGTACTGCTGATGATTGCAGTGATAGTTGTTGTGCTAATATCACAATTTCTATACAACTGGTAAGTATAATAAAAACAAAATTTAATGTACATAAGAACTGTAGGCATTGAACACTTCAGACCCACAATATACAAATCTAAGCTATGATATATCATATGATTCCATCACTGTTAATAATAAATCAGTGGTAACAAATGAAGGAGAATGGAACAAGAATATGCAACTACCTCGTAATGAAACACACTACATTAATTCTGAACAGGCAAAAAGTATGTAATAAAATCTGCTTTATATGTAGTGTTTTTATATCGAAAATTTTGTAGATCAATGTAGAATGATGATTTCTGAATGTAATTCTACTTGCTCTAATCCAATTGAAAAATCAAATCAAGGCTATATTGTAGCAATTTCTATATTAATCATAATACTACTACTACTAGTTTTAATAATAGCTTGCTGCCTTTTTAAAATATTTTTTCCTGCTAAGTTTAATCAAATAATAGACAAGATCAAGAAAGGTAAAAAGTTATTTAAGAGAAGAGAACAAACAGAATAATTTATGACTAACATTCCTTTTCTACTATTACATTAAACTATTATACAATAAACTATTTTTTATCATTATTTTACATATTTTTAATTAAACTTAATAAGATTTTAGCATTTTAGACTAGATCTATCACAAATTGATTGAATGGGTGGATGTAGATAACCATGAATTCACTTGTCATATTCATCCAGAGGCAGTGATTGCATTTTGTTTGTTATGCATTTTAGTTAAATTGTTATTGTAAACATGAGAGACTCTCCTTTGTTACTTCTACTTCACACTTGGTTGGCAGGTAAGAGCTACATGCAGTAAAGTGAATACTGTGAACAATATGTAGTTGGTGCTGTCACTGCCTTCAGTGAGACTGTATGTGCTGGAAATACAGTAAATTGCAACTGCACCACAAGTACTGGAACAGTAGAGTTGAACATTCTTTGAGCAGTAGTACTGTATGACTATCAGCATGATAATTCTTGGCTGTGTATGCAATAAGCTATGTCTCTGTTTACATACCAAAGGTGTTTAATTTCATGCTGCACAGCACATGCATATATTTAGCCAGTTTGTATCAAGGCACAGTTAAGTTAGGAATAATTATGCAATAAATGGGGGGGTATGTGTCACTATGTGAAAAGGAAGCTGATCTGTCCCTATAGATATGAATATACTAAAGTGATTGTTTGTGCTTTATGCTGAAGTCATTGTTTGTGCTGTTTTCAGTTCAATTCAATTGTGTGGAGTAATAATGGCTTCAGCTCTGCTATTAGGACTCATACTAGTCTGCACTGGGTTGACAAGTAAGCCATTGATGCCATTCAAACATTATCAGGTAACATTATGATTGTGTAGGTGGTGATGTGACATACTTTCAATGTACTAATCATAATAAAAGTGTGTGTGCTGGAGACAGAGTGGAGTGTAACTGTACAACAAGTACTGGAGCAATAGACTGGAACATCAGTTATACAGTACTAGGATCCAGTAGTCAGAGCTGGATACATATTCCAACAGTACATTTGCATACATCTCTAATGTCTGATGAAAAACATGGATACAATTTTACTAAGTTAAATAAAAGCTCAATTCTCAGTTTTTATTTGAATGCATCTGAGAATATATCTATTGTATGTCGAGATGGCAATGACGTAGTCAATGAAACCAGCAACTCATCAATGATAATTTTTGACTCAGGTTAGGCATATAAGCACTTCTACCATGCCACCTTGCGATTGACCAATCAGATTGCAGTATTGGAGGTCAATTATTTTTCATATTAACCTAGCTCGTAAAAATATAAACCTATCTCGTTAAATAATTAATTGATTGGCAGTTTGGTACTCTACGCTTATGCTCTAATTAGTCCATTTGTCAAGTTTGGTTGATTCTTTACTGGCCTAGCCTGTTAGATATGTTGTATGTATGTCAACTGTGGTCTTATTATCAGCAGCTGGTAGTTGTTTTTCAAGTGTCATGGTAGAAGTTGGTTATACACCTCGGTATCGGTTTCTATGGCATTTATTAACCTCGCGACTGCGTCGCTCGGTTAATAAATACCATAGAAACCTCTACCTCGGTGTATAACCTATACTTATAAACTCAAGTGACTTATTAGAAAATGTAACCTATACATACATTGTTAGAGGATGGAATGAACAGCAAAGCAACAACAGTGAACCATTCACAACTGGTAAGAATATAATATATATCTCAATAACACTATAATCTATTACAATAGCTGATACAACTAGCACTATTGATCCTTGTAAAAATAATATTTGCTGTGCTGATGTTACACTAAATACAGTACTGGTAAAATATAGATGAGTACTTCATAAATTAAGTTAAACCAACAATTCCTATAGGTATCATCAGACACATGCTCAAAGCATTCAAGCCAGTACTACAACAATTCCATTACTGGAAATATACCAGTAACTGAATCAAAGATAGATAACAGTGAGACCTATTATGTAACAAACACACCAAAAACCAGCTTTAGTCCAAGTATGTTGTATGCGTAATAGTTTATACATTGAGTACTTTATATACAGGTAATGATCCAATGACTAGCCAGCCACCAGGAAATGGAGATAATAATAATCTTGGTCGTATCACATGCATTATATTAATAGTAGTATTGTCAATGCTACTATTATTAATAGGAGGAAGTTTAATCATAGTGTGCATAATAGGTCTACTTCACCAAAAAAAAAGAAAAGCTCAAGTCTTAAATCGAAATCTGAGAGTTACAAAAAAAGAATAAAAATTTTTATTATTTTTGTTATTAAAAACATGAGAGTAAACACTTATAATTTCATTTTTAAAGTAATAATAACAATATTAATAATAATATTTCATTTGCATCGCTACAGTGCAAAATTGGGTGGATGTACAGTCATTGACGTGTGATGATCATTCATATTGATTGAATTCACTTGTTGATATTCATATTCATCAAGAGGGAGTGATCACATTTTTGTTTGTTATGCATTTTAGTTAAATTGTTATTGTAAATATGAGAGCTAATTACATTTACATAGGACACATTAACAATGTAGCCAATAATAGGAGCAGTAGAGAGGGAAGCTGGTAGACTCCATTCAAGACCAATAGAACTCTCAGTAATATAAGTGACTGTTATATCAGCTGGAGGACTTGGAGGATCTACAAATAATTATTTTAAAAAGTAAAAGCAAATAATTTGACATTAATTATGCATATTATCTTACTAATAAACTGTATCCCACATTCTTTATAACTTCCACTGAGTCCATCAGCACATCTAATACTGAATCCTTCCATTGAATTCCCAGCCACTATACTAATGGACAATGTAGATATGGTTGGATTCCAACCGACTAGTGTCGTTTGTATCGATCCAATATTGTAAGTTTCTCCTAAGTCAGAGTTAATGGAGTAAGACTTTATGTGGGCCCCATTCCTCAACCAGACAATGACATTACTCGATACTTGACAAGTTGCTGTTAAATTAGTACTGGAACAAAGCTGGGGCCCTGGACAATCCAAAGAAACACCAGCTGCAAAAGTGAATCACAAATTAATAAGATCATACATCAACTTGATAAGCTAACCTGAGGTTGATAGAAATTGTAGTAGTGTCAAAAAGAGAAAATACAACTCCATAGTATAATATGTAAGTATAATATGTTTGTATGATTTCCAACTAGCTTTTGGTGCAGCTGCTTTTATACATGCAGAATTGATGTAGATTTACTATAGGTTGACAATTAAAGGTTAAAATAACTTCCATTCCATTGACTATTCTGAGCTAAATAAATTATGAAAAATGCTGCCTGCTCCAGGTTTAAATCTAATGCTAGATTTAGATGAGAAATGAGAATTAAGAATTGGATCACAAATTTTAAGGTATAAAATACTTTTAAGGGGAAAAATACTTTATGGTTAATCAGTACAGAGCAAAAAAGAATGGGAGGGGCTCTTCAGCTGAATTCACTTCCTGTCCTGCTAATATCTATGCAATAAGCTGTGTCTCTGTTTACATACCAAAGGTGTTTAATTTCATGCTGCACAGCACATGTACATGTATATATTTAGCCAGTTGTATCACGTTAGGAATGAATACACAATGAATGGGTGGGTATGTGACCAGGAATCTGATCTGTCCCTTATGGATATGAATATACTGAAGTGATTGTTTGTGCTTTATGCTGAAGTGATTATTTGTGCTGTTTTCAATTCAATTCAATTGTGTGGAGTGATGATGGCTTCAGCTCTGCTATTAGGACTCATACTAGTCTGCACTGGGTTGACAAGTAAGCCATTGATGCCATTTGAACATTATCAGGTAACATTATGATTGTGTAGGTGGTGATGTGACTGGATTTCAATGTACTAATGGAAGTGTGTATGCTGGAGACAGAGTGGAGTGTAACTGTACAACTAATACTGGAGCAATAGACTGGAACATCAGTTATAGAGTACTAGGATCCTGCAATCAGAGCTGGATACCTGTCACAGAAGTAAAATTGCATAGATCTCGTAATTCAGCTGAAAAATATGGATACAACTTCACTTATAATAAGTCCAATAATAGCTCAATGCTCACTTTTCATTTGAATGCATCTGAAAGCATTAATGTTATGTGTAAAAATGGAAATGTACATGACAATAGAACTACAAATATCACAGATTCTGGTAAGACTTGAAGTAGTTTTGAAAGTAAATGGATGTTGTTCTTTAATAGGTTGTTATGCAAAAGCTCCAACAAACTTAACAGCAACCTTCAATGCAAGTGGAGTTACTTTAGAATGGGAGGACACTGAGAATAACTGTACTTCTACTGAGTATAATGTAACTATTTATGATAGTACATCAACCGGTGTATTGACCTATTGTACTAACAAGACAACCATATTTATAAACTCAAGTGAACTAAACACAGCAGAAGTCTATACATACACTGTTAGAGGATGGAATGGACAGCAAAGTAACATCAGTAACCCATTCACACTTGGTAAGGATATATGCATGGATCAATATTATGTACCTATTTTTGATTTTGTAGGTTGCATTAATGTGATAAATGTCACTATAATAAATGTAAATACAACTAATGCTACTGATCCTTGTAAGAATGATAGTTGCTGTGCTGATGTTACACTGAATATAATACTGGTGAGATACAATTAATAATTCATTACACATGTTTTTTGACAATTCACAGGAATTATCAGAATCAGATACAAGTTTGAAGTATCCAATCCAGAACTACAGCATATCATACCATTCCATTACTGAAAATATACCAGTAACATATAAAGTAACTGATTATAATATGTGACTGTAATTGACAAAAGGTATCTTATGGCGGATAATGAAATTCGTCTTTATAGTGAAAAAATTCCAACTTCCTGTGCTCCATTGATAAAAAAAATTATTGCATATTATAAATTATTGCACTTTATGAGAACACCCACAAGTTGATATTTTTTAATTATAATGATGAATTTAGTAATCCGTCAAATGGTACCTTTTATAGTTTCGTGCAACAGTGTTAATGCCTGGAGTAGTACTAAAATACAATGAGGCCTATTGCCTTACAGTTACACCAATGAATAATTTCAGCACAGGAGAGCCAAAAAGTACGTTATATGAGTAATAGTTTTATATATTGAGTAGGGTATTTTATATGTACAGATGTTAGCATAACGATTGATGAATATCCATGTCCATCATCAGAAAATACTGAAAATGGTGGCTTAAGTGCAGGAGCAGTGGCCGGAATTGTCATTGGAGCCATAGCTATCATATTTACACTAATTTTAGTAGCTACCATATATTAGCTATATACAAATACAGATAAATAATATTATTTTATTTAAGTAATTTTTAAATTTATTATGTACTAAGAGTACATCATATGTAAAAAATGAATTGCTAAAGATGAATGTCTTACAAGTGATATATATTCATAATTTATAGTAAAAATAAATTGAAATATTACTTATACAACAATGCACTATCATTATACAAAATTTTAATTAAAATGACACTGTCAACTTATGATTATTTTCAATACACTTTCTCCACCAATTATACAGCACATATAGACAGATTGCTATTACAAAAAATCATCATAAATGCACATTATTTTTAATTGATTGGATTAACAATGCAACTGCTGTGTGCTATACCAAAAACACTTTAATTCAAATTCTACAGCATGTGACATTTCATGTTTTGTCATATATAAATGAATAAATAAACCAGAATATGCTGTGAATATGTAGTGATTTGGAACGTTAACAGCCTTTGTTCTGTTATCATAACTCCATACTACTTTGTGCAGTAAGGCTCTGGTAATGTGATTGAATTTCACTGCATTAATGCGGCTGGAGGCTTGCCTCAGCCTCTTGAATGTTTTTGTGTATGCTAAAATTATTCATGCATTACTATTTGTGATGTAATTATTATTCATACCTGTTTGTTGGTATAAATAGTGACATTTTTGTACATTGAGGGAGTGAAAAACATTCTGATAAGGAATTAGAGAGATTGCTGGTTGGGCAAATTGATTGCGTTATTATTCATCCAGTTATGCTACTCAATACTGTTGCATTACTATTAGGAGTGGAACTTATTCTGCTCTACTCTGGATTGGCAGGTAAGCCATTAAAACTATTTAATATCTACACACTACTTATTTTATACAGATGGTGTTATCACTAACTTTCAGTGTACTGATGGGCCAGTATGTGCAGGGGATAGCATAGAATGCAGGTGCACAACAGATACTGGTACTTTAGAATGGTTCATAAGTTACAGCCTAGTAGAACCTTTAAAGTGGAACCTAATCCCAGTAGTTTCGTTTTTTAGAAACAAAACTGAGTCTGAAGGATATTATGGTTATAATTTCACATTCAATACAACTTATACAGGTCTGAACACTTCAATATTGACCTTTAATCTTAATCACTCTGAGAGTGTACTCATTGAATGTGCAAATGGAGAAGTGATTCATAAAATGAACACAACAGTTACTGATTTAGGTTAGTGTACACATCCAATAAGCAATTGCATTTTGTTATATTACAATGTAAAAATGGCAATCAAGGTACAATGACCCTGCAATAATCCCACAAGAGTCATGTAAATGCATGTACACAAGTTGTTTTGAAAGTAAAAAAGAACAACTGAATATGTTACCCTTTTCATTTTCAATGTTTTGTACATCAATAATAGGTTATTATGCAAAAGCACCGACAAACTTAACAACAACCTTCAATCCAAGTCGAATTACTTTAGAATGGGAGGACACTGGGAATAACTGTACTTCTACTGTGCATCAAGTGACACTTAATGCTACAATGACCAGTGAATTGACCTATCATAATACTAACAAGACAACCATATTTATAAACTCAAGTGAACTAAACATAACAGAAGTCTATACATACACTGTTAGAGGGTGGAATGAACAGCAAAGCAACAACAGTGAACCATTCACACTTGGTAAGAACAATGTGTTCAGCACTTCAGCTCAATAACATGTACCTAATTTTAATTTGTAGCTCCTCAAAATGTGATGAATGTTACAATAAATACAACAAACACTAGCATTCCTTGTAAGAATGATAGATCCAGTTGCTGTGTTAATGTTACACTGAGCATAATACCGGTGAAATATAATTATTATTTCACTATACATGTTTTTCAGCAATTTATGTAGGTATCACCAGATACAGTTAAGCATCCAAGTCAGTACTACAACATAACATACACTTCCAATACTGGGAATATACCAGTAACATATGAAGTAACTGACTACAATGAAACAGAATGGACTGAATCAGAATTAAAATACAACGAGACGTATCACTTTACCATTATACCAATCAATAACTTCAGCACAGGAATGCCAATAAGTATGTTTTGTGTGTAATAGTTTATATATTGAGTACTTTATACATAGAAAGTGATATAACGACTTCTCAATATCAATGTCAACTATCAGGAAATGGTGGTGACGGTGGTGATCATAATAGAAGAGTTGCCTTAAGCCATGGAATATTAGCAGTAATCATCATTGCAATCTTTTGTACAATTCCAGGAATAATATATGTAGTAGTAGGTATAATATTAGTAATATTGAACTGTATTTACAGACGTTGGTAAAAAACTAGATCTATTATATGTGTAATAAACTTTAATTATATTGAATAAGATGTTATCATAATAATAATAACAATAATGGCCCGGGACTAAAACTATTATAGGACTGCACAAAAACACATTGGACACCATTGAAAGGAATCATTCTGGCGATGTGTCTTGATACTTAATAAAATGTGTCTCCAATTGTAACATTTATGTGTAAGGAATCTCTCACTGTACATTTGGGTACTACACAAGATTGAACTAGATCTATTACAATTATGCACGTACCTTTTAACTATGCAACTGGCCAACTGCACACAAAAAATGCTTCAATTCAAACTGAATAGCATCGTTCGCATGTATAATTTGCAGGTTGTGCCATATGTTATGAATAAAAAGAAATGGGTGAGAATGCCAAATGGGACTTGTTGTGAATATATTGTAGTAGGGTATATTTGTTTGCTTTCAATTCAGTTCAACCATTGGAGTGATGATGGCTTCAGCTCTGTTATTAGGACTCATGCTAGTCTGTGCTGGGTTGACAAGTAAGCCATTGATGCCATTTGAACATTATCAGGTAGAACATTATGATTGTGTAGGCGGTGATGTGACACACTTTCAATGTACTAATGGAAGTGTGTGTGCTGGAGACAGAGTGGAGTGTAACTGTACAACTAATACTGGAGCAATAGACTGGACCATCAGTTATAGAGTACTAGGATCCAGTAGTCAGAGCTGGACTACCTCAACAGTTATGTTCAATAAAGGTAGTAATACTAATAATGATACAGAATATGAATACAATTTCACTTATGATGAGATAAATAATAGCTCAAAGCTGAACTTTTATCTGGATTTATTTAAGAATATTTCTATTGTATGTCAAAATGGGAACAAAATAGTCAATGAAACTGCAGAAACTGCAATAATAATCATCACCGACTCAGGTACATGTGTTTAAAGTAAAAAAGATGTAAATACCAAAAAATGCCAAATGTTTTGTATGCCAAATTTTTTGGTATCTATGGCATTAATCATACTTAGGGCCGTAGATAATGATACGACTACTGGATATCAATGTCAATCATCAGGAAATGGTGGTGATAATGGTGATGATAAACCAGGATGTAATACAGGATGCATTGTAGGATCGGTTATAGGAGGATTTTTTTTAATGATAGTCATAATAGCCGTAATCATAGCCATAATCATAATAGTCACATGCAGAATAGGATATAAAAGAGAAGGTTCAATGATAAAGAAACAAATTGATAAGAAAGAACAGCTGCGTAGATTATGTGAATTGATGGACAATATTC